TCGAACCCGCCACCTTAGGTGTACGTGGCTGGCGCCTTAGCCGGCTGAGCTATAGGCGCCGAGCCCAAAAATCTAGTCTTAAAAGCATTGCTCAACACTGTAGAACAGAGCTCTTGTAATTAAATAAAACATTATTAATTATTTTTAATTGTCAAATTTTATTTTCACTGACTTTATTAGATTATGAGATCTCTATCTTACTAATATTCATCAAATATTTCTAAATTACTCCAAAAAATTTTTGAGCATATTAGCTGTTCTGAGGAGAACTTCAAGAATGCTGTTTTGAAGACACAATTGTAAGAGGGACTTTACCTAACAAATGCAATTCGAGTAACCTGGTTTCTTATACACTCAATGAATCCCCAGCAATAGGAAAAAAAAAATGCTGTTTTGTCTCAGATAATACTTAGCTTTTCCAAAGCCTTAGATCTTAAAAGAACTAAAAGAAAATTTGGAAATTCATCTAATCTGAGTGTTTTATTCTAAAAATTAAGAAACTGAGGCCCACAGAAGTTAAATAATTTATCACATGACTGTGAGAGGCCTTATAGTTATATAAAACAAGTAAGCTTTGCTGAGTAAATGCTTATTTTTTTTATTTCATGTAATTATAGGGGGAATTCTATATTTAATGGAAATCAAGGAGGAGTTTACATCTTTGGTGATGGACGAGGCCTTATTGAAGGAAATGACATTTATGGTAAGCATATGGATTGGATTTGTTTTATGAAACTTGTAGATTGGCCTGTCTTCATTATATGAGCAAAATGGACCATTTTGAAACTAACCAAGTGGGAAAACTAATCCACTTTCTTTAAATTCTCAATAAATAGTATTATCTGACATTTATTCGATAACACTATGCCAGATACCAGGGATGAAAATACAAACAAGACCCTAGTCTCAAGGAATACCTGTAGTTTTTAAGATTCACTTGATTGTTTAACAGTAAATAAATTATTTCTGTGGTAGTCTAATATAATTTGTACTACAGAAGGAAAATTCTTATTCCTCATTAAAGCTTTAAAATATTAATTTAGCAAGCAATTAGATATTATTGTGCTAGACACCAACATGTTCCTGGGCTTTCTTTTCTGCTAACACTAACCTGGATAATACTTACATAAATCATCCTTACTAAGTGTCAGGTGTTAACTTAAGTCATATAGTACATCAACCCTGTGAGGTAGATACTATTAAATATTGATCAAGGCTGGGTGCTGTGGCTCACGCCTATAATCCTTGCAGTCTGGGAGGCTGAGGCAGGTGGATCACTTGAGCTCGCAGGAGTTTGAGACCAGCCTGAGCAAGAGTAAGAGCCCATCTCTTAAAAAACAAGCCAGGTGTTGTGGTGGGCTTCTGTAGTTCCAGCTACTCAGGAGGTTGACCCCAGAGGATTGCTTGAGCCCAAAAGTTTGAGGTTGCTGCGCACAAGGCTGCTACAGCACTCTACACGAGTGACAAAACGAGACTCTGTATAAATTAATTAATTAATTAAATCTTGATCAGTATACAAGAAAGTAGAATTCTTGGGATTCTTGGCAATCTAGCTTCAGAGTCTCTACTCCTTTTTTTTTTTTTTTGGACCAGGGTCTCACTCCCAGGCTAGAGTGTGGTGGTATCATAACTCACTACAACCTCAACTTCATGTGCTCAGGCAGTCTTCTTCCCTCAGCCTCCAGAGTAACTGGGTCAGGTGTGTACCATCACACCTGACTCATTTTTCTATTTCTTTGTAAAGATGGGGTTATCTTGCTCTTGATCAGGCTGCTGTGAAACTTCTGGTGTCAAGCAATCCTCCTACCTCATCCTCCCACTACATTTTATAGTGTGTGTAGTGTTCTGTAAAATTCAATCAGCAGTACAGTAGCTAGAACTGTAGGCACTCGCCACCATGCCTGGCTAATTTTTAAAATTTTCTTATAGAGGTGATGTCTCACTATGTTGCCCAGGCTTGAACTCTTGGCCTTTTAAATGCATCTATTTGCACTCTTGGTTTCCTTAATTTTGTGTTATAATGCTCACTAAGATTCTAGTGTAAGAATTATAATACCTAATAGTAAAACTCTTACTGGGTTCTTCTAGGCTCCAAATGTTGACATTGTAACTTTTATTTTTAAATAGGCAATGCATTAGCAGGAATTCAGATTAGGACAAACAGTTGTCCAATTGTTCGACATAACAAAATTCATGATGGCCAGCATGGTGGGATTTATGTGGTAAGCTAATGAATACAGTTCTATAAATTTGTGCATCAAAAAAAAGGGGGAGGTAGCATTTCCCCTTTACCTTTAGGTAGGCTATATTCAACTTCTAGAGTGTGAATTTGTGGTCGTCTTTAATATTTCAATAATAAAGAAGACTCTTGAACTCTCTGCCACTTCCTGAATGATTTTTAATTTTATAGTGTGTGTAGTGTTCTGTAAAATTCAATCAGCAGCTGGCTAAATTTAGGTATAGGAGGTGTATATACCTTTTCATTAAAGTCTTATTGGCAGTATGGGCTTACATAACAACTGATTTGCAGTCTAGGATATACTTGTTATGCTGGACTTTGCCAACATGACTACTATATGAGTCTTGAAGTTTTATAGAAGCATTAAGTAAAATTGTCATATCACTGGAAGTAATAATACTACTGGACAAATATTTTTGTCTTCTAAAAAAGCCAGTTTTTCATTTAAATTTATGTTGAGACATAACTGGATGTCTTTCAAAATTTTGTATGTTAGTCTTGTTTTATCTCTCATCATGGTATCTGAAATCATTACAACTGATTAAGAAAATAAGGGAAGTGTCAAAAATATTTCACTTGATAAGCCAGATATAATTTAATTTTCATTTACATTTCTAGAGATGGGCCATGTCTTCAGTTTTCTGCTAAAAGTAAAAACTTGAGGAACATGAGGTCCTTACAATTTTGAAGTGATTTCACCATTAACAACTATTGAAATAACTATTAATTCACTATTTAATGAGAAGCCTTCAGTCTGTTACAAATATTAGAATGAAATAAGGAGAAAATTGATTGCTATGATTCTAAAAATTATTAAAAAACCACCTAAAGAACAGTATAAACATTTTGGAAGTTTAAGACTCAAGTAGAAGCTACATAAAAAGAATGTCATTACCTTCTTACCCAGATGAATCCCCTCCCCCTTCTGTAAAAGGGGTAATAGTATACACTCCTTGCTTATAAAAGATATATATAGTAACCAGTGTAACTTTTATTTAGCACGAAAAAGGACAAGGTGTAATAGAAGAGAATGAAGTTTATAGTAATACTCTAGCTGGAGTCTGGGTGACAACTGGCAGCACTCCAGTACTGAGAAGAAACCGGATACACAGTGGCAAACAGGTAGGATTAGCCTGGACTCTAGGATGGGAAGTAGGTTATTTTGTAAACACTTGTCACTTGAAAAAAAAATTTTTTTTAATTTTAGGTTGGTGTTTATTTTTATGACAATGGACATGGAGTGCTGGAAGACAATGATATCTATAATCATATGTACTCAGGGGTTCAGATAAGGTAAATGTTTTCACATTTGGCTTTCTTTTGGGAGGGAGTTGGGAGTATATGGGGTATGTAGAAGAAATTTCCTTACTATTTAATACCTACTCTTTATCTCCCTTTTGACTATACATTCACATTCTTATGACAGTCTTGACTTTATCAGAATGTAGCTTTTCTTAGTAGGACAGAAGCCAATGGCACATGTGCCATAAGAGCTCATTTTTACTGTTCTGTCCACTGTGAGAATCACATCAGCTGCTAATATCCTTCTTCATACTTGGAGAATGGACATCTATATAAAAATACTTGCGCACTATGCCTAGTGTATCATTGGCACTCAGTAAAATGGCAACTTCTGTTTTAATGATGTTTCTGTAAAATTAATATTTCTTACATTCTGTTTCTTATATATTAATGGTTTTTGGAACTCTAGTAGCCATGATCATATACAAACATACTTCATTTTATTGTCATTTGTTTTATTGAGCTTCACAGGTGTGTTTTTTATGAAATGAATGTTTGTGGCAACCTTGTCTGGAGCAAATTTGTCAGTGCTGTTTTTCAGCAGCATGTACTCACTTCATGTTTGTATCTCATTTTGATAGTTCTCATAATTATATTTAAAACTTTTTCTATTATTGTTATATGTTTTATAGTAATCAGTGATCTTTGATGTTACTATCATAATTGTACTGAGACATCATGAACTGCACGCATACAAGGCAGCAGACTTAACATAAATGTGTGTGTTCTGACCTGTCCACCTAACTGGTTCCCCAGTATCTCTGTCTTCTCAGGCCTCACTATTTCCTGAGACACAACAGTATTGGAAATTAAGCCAAGCAATATGCATAAAACCTGGCTTGGCACCTGTAGCTCTAGTGGCTAAGGCACCAGCCACATACACCAGAGCTGGCGGGTTCGAATCCAGCCTGGGCCTGCCAAATAGCAATGACAACTACAACTAAAAAATAACCAGGCATTGTGGCAAGCACCTGTAGTCCCAGCTACTTGGG